GGGGGGGGCAGGGCGGTGAGGCCACGGCATCGCCGGGCTGCAAAAGGTGCTTTGCTCCCCAAAATGGGCAGCGGGTGGGTTATCTGGGTACTAGGGGGAAGGATGGATTTGGTCCCCCCTGGAGGGGGGAGCATCCCGTGCAAGTCATGTGCCCGGGGCCATCGATTTACACCCGGGGCCATCGATTGGTGCTGTCACACGTGGAAGAAAACCGGGAGAAAACCCATTTCCTCCTCTCTTCTCTTCAGGGCGCTTGAGAAATTCACTGATGTGGCTTTAGATGTGAAGCCAAGGCGGAGGGACGCCTCTCCTCCCCGCGCTCTCAAGGCAGTTTAACGCCGGTTATTTTTAGCAGAAGACAAGGATGAATAAAAATATCCCCTATTTTATTTTAATTTTTTTTTTCTTTTTCAGGAACCGCCGCTCTCACATCACAGGAGGTGCTCGGGGGCCGGCATGAGGAAGGACATCACCGGTGAAGGGGGGTGTCCGGCCTTTGCTCCTCGGTTCCGGTGGGGGACAAGGCTTTCCCCCGGACCCCCCCTCCTTTCGGGGCCGGGTGACGGCCGTGCGGCAGGCGCAGGGCTGGGGGAGGCCATGTGTGGTGGAGGGGGAGGGGGAACAAGCAGTGCCCCTGGCAGCCGCCCCGAAGCCGGCCGGGATTATTTATGGAGCAGATTTCCTCCAGGTTGTGTTACAGGGATGGGGGGGGACGGGGCAGACCCAGGCACCGGAGCGGGGGGGTTCAGGCATCCCACCACCCAAGAAAGCGGAGCGAGCCGGGGGGTCCGGCACTGGTATCGAGGTGATTTGGAAGCTGTCTTTTAAAAAAACCACGCTGGTGCTTTCTTCCCATCCTATTTTGCTTCTTTTTTTCTATGCAAACAAACAAATTTACCATTTTTCTGGTGCAAAAGCAAACCAGGCTGGACCCCCCCCCCGCTGCTGTTGGCCCCATGGGATTTTTCAAGGCTTGGGTGTTTCCTAAGGGGCCTGCATGAAATTAAGCTGCGGGGTTTCCCGATATTGGAAACCCACAGTATTTCTTTGGTAAATGGAAATTTAAAGCTCTCAGAGGCCGGGCGGGAAATGTTTAAAACCAAAAAGCAAGATTCACCTGGGTTACTTTAGAGAGGAAAAATTGAAATGTCGTGAAAATAAATCTTTGTTTTCTAAAGCGGGCTTTAATTCTAACTCCAGAATTCCAATGGGTGCCATCAGTGTCTAAATTACAGCTGGAAAAATTGAACTCGGCATCAAAGAGCAGACCTGCGAGCAAGCATCCGTGAAGGCAACGCTGCCGTAAGCCTGGCCCGGGGGAGTTTGCTGGCTCAACCTGTGGGAATCGGGGGGGCGCAGGTTGGGAGCAGCGGGCGCCAGCTCCAACACAAGCCCGGTTAAAAACGAACGCTTTAGAAAAATACTTGGGAGATGCCGTGCTTTAAATCTGCCGCGTGATCCACCCCACCACCACCCCCCCAGCTTTTTTTGCCTCTCTTGGCCCAGGCGCCGCAATTAGCTCAACACGCGCAAGCAGCCGTCGGACGTTTAATTGCAAGCGTACGTTATTTCTAATCTCGGGGGGGGGTCCGGGGTATTTTAAGGCTGCTCTTGACAAACATCTCTCCTTCACACTGAACGGGGAACATTTCTTGCCTGTCCCAGCAGCCGGTGCGTCCCCCAAACCCGTGCGTTCCCTCTCCCCGGCTGTGGGAGACGGTTATTTGCTTTCCAGTGCGCTATTTCCCTTAACAAACCCCCGGGGGGGTTGCGCGGGGTTGGGGGTACCCGTGGGGCGTTGCACGAGGCTGGTTGGTCCTCTGGGGCTGGGGGGCCTTTGGGGAGGGTTGCACGAAGCTGCTCCGCTCCCCCCCCCCCCCCCGGCGCCGCCCCGGGGCGGGGGG